ACACACACACACACACACACACACACACACACACACACACACACATATACACAATGGAATACTATTCTGCCATCAGCAAAGATGAATCTCCTACAGTCCTCATGCTGCCCAGGCACATAAATGTTTCATGTGCCCTGTACATTTCTGTAGGAATGGGATAGAGGCTCAGCAAGGGGTGCTCACCTGCTCCTGGGGGGGTGAGCGGAACTCCTTGGTCTTCCGGGCGGTCAGGGCTGCAGACATGTTCAGGGCCTGCATGAGCTCATTGTAACGGAACTTCTGATTGGCCTGGAGCTTGGAGACATAAAGGTCGCCAAATGCCACAATGGCCTCCACTCGGTGCTGCAGCTCACAGTCACAGAAGTAGCTGAGGAGCTCACACATCTGGAACAAAAGTGCACATAAATGCTAATATAATCATGCTTTATGTGAACTGGTACATCACCTAGCATCCCCGTTTTACGGAGGGTAACACTGAGATTCTGGCGATTTAAGCAACTTGTTCTATGTCACATGGTAAGGGTGGAGCTATTACTTGAACCCGAGCTGGCCTGAATCCAGCTCTTCACTAGTAGGGCCAGGAGCACAACAGGGAAAAAAGCTTGTTGAAGACTGAGTAAACCTGCCTGCGGGGAGAGAGAGCAGTGTTTCTCAGAGAGTGTTCTCCCAGGGCTCTAAGCTCACACAGGAACCACCACCAAATTGCATCGTGAGCTCTGGCTCCTTCCTGACATCTTCTGGCTTTCACTGTTTTTGTTTATCGGCACTGTTTTTTTGTGATTAGATCTTTAGGGTTGTTATTACTAATCTTATCACTATTAGACCACTAATAAGAAAAATAATAGCCATAACTTATTGAATGCTATGTACCAGACACTCTGCCAGGCACTTGCCATACTTTATCTCCTTTAGTCCTCACTGCATTCCTGATATTTTTATTAAAGGAGAAGTTCTATTAGCCTGCCTCTACTTAACTGCTCATGGGATTAACAGACTCTCTCCAGTCAGTCTGGGCGATGGAGGGCTTTCACCTAGCTGCACAATCTCTGACATACCTCTACACCTCTGCTCCCGCCAGGTGAACTAGGACCCAGAGTGTATGCCAGCCATACTCGTGATTATAATTATACCATTTAATTAAAAATTATATGAGCCTTGCTGGACTTATCATGGCGATCACTTCTTTAGGTATATAAATGTTGAATAACTATGGTGTACACCTGAAACTAACAGAACATTGTAAGTTAGCTATATTTTAATAAGAATCTTAAAAATAAACAAACACATTTCCAAAGAGAAAAAACAATGATTTGAGCCAATGAAATAGGAAAACTAAGTTGAATGACTAAGGGACATCCGTAAAAGGCAAGTTAAAAAAAAAACGCTAAAAATTGGGTGTGAATTAGACAACTACAAAAAATTGTGGGAAATCATACAAATCTAGAAGCATTCTGCACTCCAGTTACCTCTACATATGCAGTCTACTGTCAAGATCCCCAAATGGCGATTGCAGGTGGTGCATGACAGGTGTCATCTATGCACAAGAGAAGACTCTATGGGCCAGTCAGAGACTCACATTAGAGAAACGGTCCTGGCCCTATGTTAGAATAGCACATTTATATATTTTAATACAATGTTTAAGGTATATATGTAAAATTCTCCTCTATATTTAATGTTTTAACTGACCACCTACCAATCCTATCACATTGAATAAGAGACCTTCCACTGCAGATTACTATAATACATTTTATAAAACATTTTCATAGTATATTTTATAAAAATACATTCTAGGGGCTGGCCGAGTGGCTCAGTTGGTTAAGAGCTCGGTCAAGAGTTTGAGCTCTGAGCAACAGCGGTTCGAGTCCCGGCCCCACTGAGCTGCCAACAGGTGGCAGGATGGCTCAGCCAAATAAGTAAATAAATAAATAAAATAAAAGATACTTAGATATTAAAAAAAATACATTCTAATCTTATGGTTTACTATATTATCATCCACATCTCACAAATCATAAAGCTAAGGCTCTCATGGCTGTTGACTGGGCAAGTTTATATCAGTAGTAAGGGGCAGAGGAGAGGAACTGAAATAGAGATGCCTGAACCAGGCTCACTCTGTGGGGCAGGCTGTTCTACTCTATTCATTTTCATTTATCTTTTCTCGGCGCCCAGAAGACTGACGCCAGCTTACACCTGAGAAGACTGTGTTTTAGGAGGCGTTGAGGCCAAGGGGGCAGCTCAAAATGAGCCTGACTCTTTTCCTTAGCCCAGATGGCAGTTTCTTTGAATGCCAGTGGAACATCAGCTTGGTGACCAGAGCATGGCAATAAATGAAAGCAGGTGATGAGTGTGGTCACTCGACGAGCCAGTTTCGCTGGTGCACTCCACAGCCAAAGGCTCCTCTCCCTCTCCAGACAGGATCTCGCAAATGAGCCCTTTAGTCCCAAAGACATAAGATCAGGGCAAATCCATCCCTGGTACCAGAGAATTCTAAAGCCCAGGCCTCATTGATGAGGGTTGGCATTTTTATTTTGTCTTGGGGAGACTTAGGGAGTACATTCTATGTCAGAAATGAGCACGACCGGTGGGTATTCTGAGCATCTCTGTCACCCTCCAGGTTCAGGTCAGTGTCCACAGTCCCGGCCTCATCACTGGCTGTACTGTCTCCCTCCCCAGCTCTTTCCAAGAGCAGGATCTTTGAAGCCCAAAGTTACCTGCAGCTTGACAGGCTCCGGTAACCTGGTCTGTAACAAGCCTTTGACTGGAGCCTCCTTGCTGGCCTTTTCCCCAGCCTCCACTGCCTTCTCCTCCACCTGAGTCACTTCCTCCTTCTCTGCCCCCTCTTCTGTCTCCCCACTGTGCTCTCCAAACACAGTGGGATCGATCAGGAGGAGGATCTGCCGAACGTCATCATCGTCGAACACCCCCATGACCAGCAGGGTTCCAATGAGCTTCAGCACAGGCACAAACTGGAACTCCACAGAGCCCCCAACAGGGTCCCGGATGTGTGCCCCGCTGCACTGCACAGCCTCTCTCAGCATGCTCAGTGCCTTTGTCCTGAGAATCTCCAAGGGAATCTCGGGGCTCTGCTTCTGGTGCTCCTCACTGGTCATGACAACGCAAGGGGTGGAGAACCTGAACCCTGGCTTGAGGCATGTTCTCAGGCCGACTGCAGGCAGCCCATGCCTCTTGGACTTGTCTGGGTACAGGCGGATTCTCCTGGTGGTGCTGGTAATGGGGATGATATACTCATTCTTCATCATCAGCTTTCTCTCCTTAGCGTTGGCCAAATGGATGCTGATGAGCAGGTCATAGAAACCAGACCGAAGCAGGCCAGGGAGGTACTTGTTATCAATGGCATAGAAGAGCTGGGAGAGGTCCACGTGGCTGCACAGGGCGTAGGCTACTCGGCTGTTCCCCAGGGCACATACGGCGCTGTAGAGTCGCAGCGTGTGGTAGTGGAACTGCAGCAGGTCCTCCTGCTCACAGAGCTCCAGGATATCCACACACCTGAGAACCAAAGACACAGGCAATCAACAACTCCATGGGGAGAAAAATGTGCCAGAATTCAGCAGAGTTCTTGCTCTCTGAATCCCCAGGGATTTCACCCAACCCAGTGAAGGTAGGCGAGGGTTAGAAAGATGGAGGCATCTCTGCCCCACTTTCTCTTATAGGTTATTATTCCTCTCATGGTTCTGGTCCACATCCCAGTTTCTGATAACCCCCCATATCTAACTTCAAGGGTCTCAAAAGTCTGTAAGACTTGAAAAAGATACTAGCATACCAAACATTAACGTCTTCCTTATTAGGGAAAACCCCAAATCTCAACACTGAAAAACATTCAGGTATATGACAGAGGTGGTTTGATCCTTTCATTTGTAGGTTCAAGGGGACCCTCTGTTTCCTGGTGGAAGACGCCTTCAGAAGATATAGCTGAAGCCCTCCATCAATCTACCTTTTATGTTACCTGTATAACCTCCAATCTCCCTTCATCCACGGGCTTCCCTTCCCCTGAAAACAAACACACCATACTCTTGTCCAGAGAGAAAACACTTTCCAACCTCAGATGAGTTGGCACAATCAATTCACTTTCTCCTTCCTGGCTTTAGAGATCTGTCTGCCTGTGCATTGTTCCCTTGTTTGTGAAGGCCCAGGGCATGGCTCTGATCTTTGCTTAGATTTTCTACTTTGTCTTGCTCCTCACCCTGGATCTGGGGACCCTTTGCAATTAGCTTACATGGATGGACTGCCGGTGTTTTCTGCTCCTTCCCTACGCTAGCCTGTCCTGCTGCTGCCCATGAATATCTAAAAGGGAGCTATGCAGGTATGAAACACCTCTACCCTCTATTACTTTATTTTTTTTAGTCCAAAAGATCAAGGGGTAATAATATCCACAAAAATAGAATTACTTCTTACTATGCACAGAAACTGTACTAGATTTTTACCTACACAATCTCATTTTTTTTCTCCCAGCAACCCTTTGGGTGGGCATTTATCCCACTGTATCCATGAGGAGGCTGAGGCCTGGAGTGCAAGAGTAACTGACCGAAGGCTACACAGCCAGAATCTAACAGTGCTGGCGGTGAAACCAGGCCGTAGTCCAAGAATGCCTCTTAATGAGGGGAGGCCAGGAGCCTGAATTTCTTATTTCTTCGTTCTCTACGCAAGTGAGGTATGCCCCATTCTTCCCCTTCTTGACATCAATAAACATATATCTCAGGGTCACACTAAGGTTTTTAATTAAAGGCATGGCAGTGTTCCCTGAGTGAAGGCACGCAGAGCTACGGTGAAGGCCCCGGGGCAGGCACATCACAGTGAATATCCTGCTGTTTCTGAGTAAATACCGAAAGGGGGAAGGGAGAGACACTGAGGTGTGGGGAAACTGACAGTCATCCTGGGATTAAGCAGAGCCCTTGGCCGATGAGGATGGTGCTCCTTGCAAGCCCTGACTCACTGCCTCCCAGGCCTGCCCCGTCCTCTGTGGGCCCCTCCACTACCTGTTCTCCTCGGGGATGTGGAGTGCCATCATCTGCAGGGGCTCCAGGCACTGCACCACCCAGCCGTGGCGCTCGCTCACCCGCTCTGTCTCCACCTTCAGGAAGCTGCTGGGCATGCGGCTCCAGAGCACTGGCTGGATGGTCTGGACGTCCAGCCGCGGCGGACACTGTGGGACTGGGTTCTTTTCCTCACTCTTAAATATGGCTGCCGACAGGGGCATTGCATTCTGGGGCAAGGCGGAAAGGCGTTAGAGAGAACACACACGCCAACATGTTCTGTGGCTGGATAACGCACCTGGCCCATGATAACCAATAGGGTTAGTATAAATTAAAGAGAGACAAATGTATCCAGGGACCTCTAAGGGCTTTACCAGCATCAATTAAGACCTTTCCTAACAGTTAATATGAGCATTAATTAATTACTTCAGCACCCAACAGAAATAGGAGAAGGGAAAAATGAAAACCTATGTTCTGTCGTATGAATTTCACAGGCAAGTGTAGGAGTCTGGTGAGTGGGGTGGGGGGGTGCATATGAAAAGTGAGGGAGTGACAGATTCCCCTGTTTTCTGAGTCCTGGGGTCTTCCCCCTAATGGTCAGTGTGTCTTCCCTTATCATAGCCATTAGGTGAGGGAACTGATAAATACCTTCAGCTTCCCAAGTTCAAACTGAAACAAAGAAGTGCTTGTAGGCTGCAGGAAGACTGCCGGAAACACTTTTGTATTGGGCTCCACCTATAAACCAAAACAAATTGAGAGGTTTGTCCCAAATTATAAAATCATAGGTGGCATTGGGTGTTTTAATGAACACCCTCACTCTGACGTGTGCTGAAAGAGGACAGTTCACTGGCTGGTCGTTCTCCGCTGCTCGGAAATTCCCAGAGACCTGGTACCTACTGGCAGATGCTGTCACTGCTCCTCACCTTAAACACTCTCTCCCTCTCTCTGCTGGGGGCTGCACAATTTCACATCCTTTCATTTTCTCTTTCCTGTAACTGAAGCCAACAGCTTTCTCCAGTGCTCAAGAGGACAGTCACAGGTGGGAGCTACTAACCTGCCACCAAAGACAATGCCTGCCCTTCGTCACTGAACAACGTGATGTGCTGGCTCCTTAGAGAGCATGAGACACCTGCCCAGAGGAAGTGATAATTAGGGTTGGGTGGTGACTTTAGTAGTATTTCTGAAGGCGAACAGACATTGGTCAGGCAACACAGGAGGCCTCTTATAGCGGGGCTTCTCAGCTCTGAGACTATTGATGTTTTGGGCTGGGTCTTTCTTGTGTGAGCTGTCCATTGTAGGATATTTTCGGCTTCCCTGGCCTCTACCTACTAGATGTCATGAGTGCTCTCCACCCCACCCCAGTCATGACAATCAAAAATGTCTTCAGAGATTGCCAAATGTCCCTGGAAGAGAAAAGCGCCCCCCACACTTTGCAGGCAGGGACCATGAGGCACTTTCCTAGAATAACAGGAAGAGGCTGCCTCCAGGGCCTGTCTCTTCTCTCAAAAACTCTCCTTTCATTTGGTTCCTTTGGACTTTTCTCCACCCCCTTCTCTCTCTGTATGATTCTAGTTCTTACATTAAATGGTGTAAATTCACTGTCTTTTGGCTGCCACTTACATGAGGCACGTGGATTTATTTATGACCTTGGGGCTCCACTTATCATTTGCTCACTTTGATGAAGGGCTTTTGATCAGACTTGGAGGACCGTGGAAGAAGAAGTGGGACTTTAATTTCACCAGCTGAAGTCCTTTGCCTTTAAGCAAATTTAGACATTAGGAAACTCTTGCAACTTGCCCAACTCACCAAATTAGGAGATGTTGGGTGTTGTGGACATACCCTAAGGTGCCCCTCCTCCCCCGTGAATCACCCCTTGTCTAATCCCCTCCCCTAGAACCTGTGTCTTGTTTCTAGCAAACAGAATATGGCAAAAGTGAAAGGACTGTCATTCCCTTGATTAGGTCACATTATATCAGACTCCATCTCAGCAGACTGGAAAGAAAGATTCTCCCGTTGGCCATGGAGAAGTAATCTCCATGTTGTGAGAGGACCACGTGACAAGGAATTCCATGAAGTCTCACGAGGCTGAGAATGGCTGCCCCCTGGCTGCAGCCAGGAAGAAATGGAGCCTCAATTCTACAAATGCAAGTAAGAATTCTGTCAACATCCACGTGAGCTTGGAAAAGGACCCTGAGCTCCAGAAAAGAACACAGCCAGGTTGTCACCCTGATGACAGCCTTGTGAGATCTTGAGTAGAGGACCCAGCTAAGCTGTGCCCTGACTCCTGACCCATGGAAACTACGAGACAACAAAAGTATGCAGTTTTAGGTCACTATGTGTATGGTAATTTGTTATGTGATAATACAACATGAATTCAGTGAGTTTTCTTTTTGTCAGGTTATTTGTTACAGGCTTCCTTTACATAATAAACTGCCTCGATGCATTTAGATATAAGATTTCTAAAAGCACATATTTTAAGGGCTGCAACTTAAAAGAAGCAGGGTGGACTTGTTAAACCCCAGCCTTGCGCCCAGTACACGGTCATTCCAGTACACTGTGGTGGGCTCATTGTACAGAGGCAGACATTTACTTTACCCCCAATGCCTCAGGTACCCATGGATGATAAGGATGGATAAATTCCTGTAAAACCAAAGCGTAGGGACAGGATGGCTAGAACTGCCTTGCAATGTCTGAAAGAATCTGTTAAGGACGTTTAACAAATGCTTATTTAGTGCCTGTCATACACCTGCTTTGTGCCAGACTCTGGGTTTACAGCGGTGAGAGATATTAATAGGAAATTCTGATCTGATGCAGGGGTGACTTTGGCCATAAAGTGGCCCAAATCCTATCTGGGCTGACCCCAGATTTCTCAAATACTTGTTGGGCGGCACCTAGGACAATGCATGCCCCTCAAGTCATTGCACCTTGAAGCAAGCAGAGCTCTGGAGGCTGAGAAAACTTCACCTGGACCAGGAAGCAGCCCATGAGTCTGTGCTCACAGGGAAAGAGAAGTGCTTTTGGCTGGACGTTCCCTGGGCTGCCCTACATCATACCGGCACAGGGTGCTACCAGCTGAAAAGGGTGGCACGTTTTTAGGTTCCTCAGGAATTGGCCCTGCAAACTTTTTAAATTACCCAGCCAAATGCCAGGGCCCTCTTCAAACCTCCCTGCAGAGAGGATGTGCTCCGAGAGCCTTTAGGATGCTCTGGGATAGGTTTATTTCTAGCCTGCGGACTATAACCCCATCACAATGAACCATTGAAATTTTTCTTCATTCACTATAATAAAAAGGCAACCCAAGTGTGGGCTCATGATGGGAGTACATAAGGATAAAAATGTTGACTGGGGTGTGGTAAGCAGAACCCTAGATGGGGTTATTTCTGTGATCATGTATGCTAAATGGCAGAAGGGATTGTGCAGAGGTAAGAAAAGCTACTAACCAGTTGACCTTAAGACAGAGATTATCCTTGTGGGTTTAATCTAGTCACATGAGCCCTTAAAAGGCAGGTGTTTTCTCCTTCTGGGGGCAGAAGGGAAAGTCAGAGAGATTCAAAGCATGACAAGAGTTGGATATACCCTTGGGGCTTTGAAGCTGGAAGGGGCCATGTGAGAGGGAACGTGGGCACCTCTGGAAGCAGCAGAGAATAGTCCTGACTGATGACCAGCAAGGAAACAAGGACCTCAGACCTCAATCTCCAAACATAACAGGACCCTGCCAACAATGTCAATGAACTTGGAGTGGATTCCTCCCAGAGCCTCAGACAGAGCCAGCTCAGCCCAGCTGACAGCTTGATTTTGGCCTTTTGAGAACCTAAGCAGAGAACCTATAGAATTATGAAACAATAAATGCATGCTGTTTAAGGCTGCTAATTTTGTGGTAACTTGATAGGCAGCAATGAAAACATGAATATAGTGGCTTCATAGCTGAGTTGGGCAGTTTGACAACAAATACAATACCTAGGTGCCAGGTACTGTTTCACCCACAGGGGATGCAGCAGTGAACAGAGAGATGGCCTCTGCCCTCAGGGAGTTTACACTCTGGATGGGGAACTTACATTTTAATGCAATGAGCAGTGAGCCCAGATTTGGGGCTGCTGTGAAGTACCACGGATATTTTTCCCTTTGTGTTTAAGGTACATTTTATCACTGGCTGATCTAGACATTCTGTTTCTAATTATGTGTGAAGATCAGGATATAATAACTGGCCTGAATTGAAAGCTAACCCTTCCATAAATCTGAATCTTACAGCCGGCCCACTTCTCAGAGCAGTGTGTCTGGGGTGTCAATAACCGAGGAGTAGTATCTCTTGAACATATATTTTATTTCTCATTTCACCCATGATTACATTATGAGGGACAGAAAAAGGTATTCAAATTGCATAGCAGTTATTTAATGGGGAACTCGAAAAATACTGTTGGAGAGAATCCTTCTCTCATTATTTTGGTTACTGGCCCTTTCTGAATAGAAAGCCAGTGTATAAATATTGCTGCTCTGCTCCTCTCAAGATAATTGAAAAATGAAAATGGCTACAGCTGCAGAATAATAATTATCCCACTGCTGGGGGACCAGATGCACAGCTGGACACATTAGCGTCTAGCCTGGAATGAAAAGGGGGCTGGCTGGGTGTGAGCCTCCCCAGGGCCCCTGGACTCTAAAGGCCTGGCGCTCTCCACATTCACAGCCACATTCCTCAGTGGAAGGCAGAACGCCGAGTGGAGACATGAGGACTTACATGCATGGAGTAGAGGCAGGTGTCCCGGGGGGTAGGTGCCAACTCGCAGCTCAGAGAAGACAAATGACTAGCCCAATGTCACCCAGAAACTACTGTGAAAGATGGGATAAAAATGGCCACAGTGTCCTGCTCTTTGTTATAACATCTCCTCAACATCTCTTCCCTGAGGCAGGCCAGGCACAGCCGCTGTGAGTGCCATGGGTTATTTATTTATTTAGGGACCTTTGAAGCCCAACTCGCCTTAAAAGTTATTAGACGCTGTAGCGCTCTCTGCAGCTCAGGGAGGACCCTTCAGTCAAACTCATTTCAGGAGTTAATGGGAAAAAAAGTAATGGATTCTGAAGGACAGCAGAAATGTATATAAGCATTCTTAGGGGACTGGGGGGAAGGTAGAATCTCTAGACAGTATTAGAAAGATACCTTACTTCCTGCCTCAAAGTCTGGTTTTGCAAAGGCGTCTTTCTGGGAACAGCTGGTGGGGCCTCAGCTGCTGTACCAAGCTTGCTGCGTGGTGCTGATGATCCCACTTTTTTCCAGGAGGAGGAGGAGGAGGTGCCCAGTCTCCTTTGCTACAGGAGGTACCGGGGAGGAGGCAGCTGCCTCCATGCCGGCAGGCGGTCCCCGGACCCCAAAAAGGGATCAGTCTCTCTGTTCTTGGTCACCAAACATTTCAGATTTGGGGCAGCTATTCTATCTCTCCCCTCCAACTGCAGGCCAGACAACTGGCTGCCAAGAGGCCCTTCAGCCTGGATGCTGTAACCTGGGGCTAATTCTAGAACCTAAGGTTTTATCCATTTACATAGCAGGATGCTTTTTATCTGCTGTAGCTTGCTAAGCTTCCATAAACACTGCGTGCCCTTGTCCTGGGTCAGCAACCTTCAGGAGTTCCTCAGTTCCTATCAACACCTCCCTCCCTTTCTAAATGGCATTGTCACCACTCACCATAAAGACGCCATACTAGTCTGTCCATTGTTCCTCATACATAATACCTTAGGCTTCCCTATCTCTTCAATGCTCCCTGTGCCCTTCTTTCAACCTAGTATACTGCCCGCTCTCCACGTGAAACACTTCTTTTTTGTTTGTTTAAGATTTCTCCATAATGAACACTTTCCAGGCCACTCTCAATGGGGGAGAGCGCTTCCCTCTCTGAACTTCGATAATCCTCTCTGTCCACACATACCTGAGACTCTCCATTCTACCCTTGGAGTGTCAAGAAGGTTTAATATAGAAATATAACTCCTTATCTTAGCTGTTCCCTGGTAAGCTTGGTAGAACTCTAGGCTTATAGAATACTAATAACTGTTAGAGTATAAAAAAAAAAGAAAAGTTTTTTTTTGTTTTTTTTTTTGGTTAAATAACATGAGAAGTGCCTGGTTAGACAGGTTTCTTTCTAAAGTATTTCTCAAAGTTAATGTTCATGCAAAACTTCAAAAGAAGGATATAATATGTTTGGAAGTTCCGAAGCTTACCTGGCCATCAAAGACGAAAATCCTGCATAAAGAAACCCAGCCTTTTGTGCTTAATGACAGGTAAACTTACAAGTGTATGACTGATGGTTTTCCTGAGTAGTTCTATCAGAGTTCATAGTCAATGAAATAGGGAAACATTGTTTATATAAATGCATTTTTAAAGGATCCTGTAAAGAATCCATAGAGAATGAGAATCACCTTTTACAAAGAGAATACTCCCTGGCAAATTAATCAGTTTTTATGGGTCTATATTTTGAGCATAGATGTTTCTTAAAGTAGGAGTACCTCTGTTCACATTTTAAACTTTACATCTTATATAGTGCCGGTAACATCAAAGTTGCACTAAAAACAATTACAAAATAAATGAACAACCTTTAAGAGCCCACCAAGGAAGCACCTTATCTTCTAGAAAGATGACCAGCATATCTGATCAACCAATATGTATGATATCTGCCCCCCGCCCTTCTCCCCCTTTCTGTGGACAAATGAAGTCACTTTGCTTTTTTGTTTGTTTCCCAAGATGGCTTGTGGACCACGTGGGCTCATCACCTCCGTGCTCTGGTGGGGATGCTGACTATGGAGCAGAATGAGGAGCAGAGCCCTAAGCACTCAGGCCAGGGACATTGTTGTCTCGGCCCCAGAAGCCACTCCTACCTGGTAGCAGGTGCCGAGTTCTCTCCCATTGGCCGAGAATGACAGCATGCCCATTGCCAGGTCCACAAGGCAGCCGATCTCCAGGTCCACGTTGCTGCGACTTGACCGTTGGGAAGTGGCCACAATGTCCCCACCCCAGACCATGTAGCAGTTGCTGCGCTTTACACTAGGAGCCACAGAGATGAAAGGCACAGAATTAGATTTGGGATTGGGGCAGTTTGCAGTCAGGACTCTGGGATGAAATGCCCCAGGCTTTCCAGTCTGCCCCCAATAACTTTTTCTCTTAACTGAATTCATTCAGCTTCAACCCAGTTTCCTCAGGCATGAACAACTCAGTTTAAGGATCTGGCAATCTATTGGGCTACTTTGGTCCAAAGAGTGTGACGTTCAGGTATCTGTTTCCAGGCTCCATGTCAGTTCACCTTTCTGAAACAGATAATGGGGATGGTAGTATTCCCACCTTAGAGATGGGAAATGGAGGCACAGAGAAGGTGGCCACCATAGGCAGACTCAGGCATTTGGAATGAAGCAGGAACAAAGATCTGCGTTCAGCATCCTAGTCCAGTGTCCGGGCAAAAAGTCTTTAAGACACTTGGAAACTCAATGCCACATTCCTTAGGATGGCAGGCCTGGGCAGACTTACAACATAGGTGGAGGTGTCTCTGATGCCCTCCCACCTCCAGGCCTACAGTATCCTGCCCTTCTCAGCCCCCTGAAGGTCTGTCCACCACATTCTTCACTAACTACCAGCTTGGGTGCCTGTCTACCAATCCTCAGAATGTAAACTCTATCATTGGTGCCATTATTTAGATTTAAAAGCCAACTGTAATAACCCAAAAGCTTTTAAGGCTCCAAAGCCTGATTCCTTCATTGTAAGATTTTAAATCCTGAGTGGGCTTTAGAGAAGGGGCACCGTGGCAAAGGTGATTCCTTTTCAATGGCTGTGGGCTGGGAATAGTCAATTGGGTCTCCTCCTAAGTCTAGTCCTGGGGCTCACCATCTGAGGTACCCAGTCACTTGAGGTAATACGAAGTGATCTGTCTCAGGTTAAATGAGAAAGAGGCTCTATATCTGATACTAGAGCAGCCCCTTTAAACATCCTAAGGTCGATCTAATTTGACCTTGGAAGGCCAAGGGTTGATAAGAATTCTCCAAGGTTCTTTCCGCTCTAGAATTCTATCACTTTTTCCTGTGACTGGAAATCCCCTTTGTGAGCTTATTCACCTCCTGTCCTCCCCTCCCCTCTGGGGCCCCATCAGGCTGATATCTCAGTGTTAGTCCCCACAGGCAGGACCAGTGCAAGCTGCTCCTTCCAAAAGTGATAGCCATTGCTAGCTTTCCATAAAGGTTAAACTGCAGCCATGTTACTGCTGCTGCTTAGTGATTAGAGTACTAAGTACATTGATGACTACTACACAATTCAATTAATAATGTATTACAGCTGTGGGAGTTATGACGTACCATGCTTTGGTCGTATTTTAAAGGACCCAAATTTGAAATGCCTGAAAATTGATCCTGTATTTATTTCTTGTTTATGCAAGACACAGAAGAATTACTGAGCACCTACTATATGCTGAGTCTTATTCTACATGCTAATGTGTCAGTTAATTTTCACAATAAATGCTGTCACTGAGGCTCAAATAGAGTAATCCATCTGGCATGGGACAGCCAGCTAACTGGAGAAATCAACCCAGTTGGGATGGGCATGTCTGCCTTTGTTTTTCTGGTTAAAGAGGAAAGTCTGTAGTGGTCAACTACTTTCACATACTTTGCTTTCCAACCTAAATCAGATGTTGCTTATAGCATCTACTCTGGGTCTCATAACATGACAGACATCCAGTAACAGTAATAATAGTAGTTAATGTTTATTGAGTGCATGGGTTGAGGCACTGTTCTAGGTATTTTTGTGTATTATCTCACAACACTCTATGAAATTGGAACCATTATGAGGTAAGACAATTAAGTTCACGAACTTGTTGCAACCATGTTGCTAACCTTTTTTGATATCAGAGGGATTATTCATTATGAATTTGTACCAATTGGACAGTTAGCCAAGCTTACTATTTGGAAGTGCTGAAAAGCCTGTGTGAAAAAGTCAGATGACCTGAACTTTTCACCAACAATTCATGGTTATTGCATCACAACAATGCACCAGTTCACACAGCACTGTTTGTGAGGGAGTTTTTAGCCAGTAAACAAATAACTGTATTGGAACACCCTCCCTACTCACCTGATCTGGCCTCCATGACTTCTTTCTTTACCCGAAGATAAAGGAAATATTGAAAGGAAGACATTTTGATGCCATTTGGGACATCAAGGGTAATATGACAACAGCTCTGATGGCCACTCCAGAAAGAGTTCCAAAATTGCTTTGAAGAGTGGACTAGGCGCTGGTGTTGGTACATAGCTTCCCAAGGGGAGTACTTTGAAGGTGACCATAGTGATATTCAGCAATGAGGTATGTAGCACTTTTTCTAGGATGAGATCATGAACTTAATTGTCTGACCTCGTATTCTCTTTTTATAGATGAGGAAATTGAGCTCAGGGAGGTTAAGTGACTGTCCAAAGTCACACCTCTATTAAGAACTGGAACCCAGTTTAAAACACAGGCAGTGTGCTTCCAGAGTCTGTGCTCTTGACTATCTGCTCACAGTGGTCCTCCTGACATAGCAATGTACCTGACCCCTGGCTTTTGATGAGCCAGTAGCACCTAAAGAGCACTGCTTATGAAAACATTCCTGAACTTGTAGGGGTAAAGGTCATCTTGAGAAACAATTTATTATATCTCTACACATATCTGCATGGGGAAAGAGTCTATTAAATGTCAGGTGAAAACAAGGTCTGGTCTCCTGGGTCACCTCTGGGGCATAGCTGGGCAAGGATTCTTTCTCTGGTGGCAGCGCCAATGGACTGGTGGGAGGGTACAGTTGTGCCCAAATGTGTTTTCCCTATGGATCTCTAACTTCTATTCAGTGGGCATCACCCATGAATTTGTAATGTCTCTTTCACGTTCTTTGTGCTTTCAGCCATGACAAACTCTTGGGATGGAAAGTTCTGACTTGATCAGTTGCTGTATGATGTGGTACATCTTTTTATTTCTTCTGAAGTGACTTCTTTCAAGTACCCAGGGATCTTTCTCTGTCTTGCTTGGATGTTGTAGAAATTGGGGCTTGCTCGGAAATCATGGAGAAGAGTCTGAGAGAGAGTGCAGACCTCCCAGTTGTCCATTTGTATCTCCCATCACTGGGTCGTGTTTTATATGAGATGAAATTACTATTTTCACTAATAACACTTGTCTTGTCATAGTATCCCCAACCCAACACCGTTTACTTAAGGATTTTAAGCCTGTGCTTCATTTTCCATTTTTAATAGACGCTGGATGTTTCCTTGTTTTGGAGTGTGTGGATTAGAGAGAAAAAGACTGCTGGTAGGGAGTGATGAGCCCCCTTACCTTTCATGGACACGGCCGCGTTCATCCCCCAGAGTAACAGTCACCGTACAGTTTTTACTCAGATCAAACTTCTCACTGTATAAGTGATAGTCGGGAGTCACCCATCCAACCCAGACACAGGAGGGGTCCTGTCCAGCAAAGATGCGGATTGCGTAGTAGCACTGCTGAAAAAAGACCACAGAGAAGTGAGTGGCCCCCAGTTAGGGGGCACATGCTCAGGAGGCAGAAATGCTGCTGCAGCCCACCTGGCCCTTTCTTCTTAAAAAGCACACGTGGTTCTAGAGGTGTATCGCATCGCAGTCTAGACTTGGGGGAAGGGATGACTAGAGAATTTGGCTTATTTTTCCCTTTTCTGTTGTGCTTTAGCATCCAGAGAATCAAGCACTTAATCTACAATATTACCCTTTGCTCAGAAAATGCTGCTGATGGAATAAACAGTAGCTGCTCAGAATGGCCTGCACAGAACCCTAACCCTCTCCTGGGCATCAGAGCAGACCTGGGCTGCTGGGGAGAGCTGGGCGCTGCCTTTGCCCTCCGAGAGAGGGAACAGTCGGGGCTCAGAAAACCCCTGCTACACTTTCCACTTTTACAGGGAAGTCCAGGACAGTTTTCTTGAAAGTCTTGAAAAAGATGCTGTGAAAGAAAACCCATATTGTGGCCAAACATGCTTTAGATGGTCATCAGGAGCAATGACAAAGTGTTGAGAATTACAACAGTTCTTGGCGGGTGTCATAATAGTTGTGAAATGTATTCCTATGTTATAAGAATAATTAAAGCATTAAGGTAAGTGACTGCTTCATTATTTTCTTTATAAAACCAAGCACATTTATTCTTAATGAACTGACTTTTATTTGTAGTCAGTCATATGTATATGTATGTATGTATGTATGTGTGTGTGTGTGTGTGTATAAAATTTGATTAAAAGATAAAAGGGTCAGCCAGACAAAATGGGGCTTGAACCTTGGCACTGGCAGCTATTAATCGTGTGGCCTTGGACAAGTCATTTGTCCTGTCTGTGCCACAGAGGGCATGATATTGTCCATCTCACGGGGTTGCTGTGGGAATTGAGTGGGAAGCTGATGCAATGGGCCTAGCTCAGCACCCTGCACATTCCAAATGTGTGACCACTGCAGCCAGATTTTTACTCCTGATGGAAGGTAACCTATGAACTCGGGATTGCAGGATAACTTTATAGAAGGGGTGACATGCATTTATTTCTTCCAAAGAAATTTTTTCTTGGTTAGGTGCTAAAAGAAGAATGAGAAAGAGAAAGAAAAAAAGAAGTGAGCAAGAGTTGCTTTCGGACACTGTCTAGCTATACAAAAGGGACCAAAAGTAACCTCCATCTTCCAGGCTGGGTCCCTGGCTCCTTCTTCTCATTTGATTGCTCTCAACATTATTCCTGGCACTGCTCAGAGAGAGGGAGAGTTGACTTATGGAAGTTCACATAAAGAAGCAAACAAATGGATTAATTAAGACCCCACCCTCCCTAACTGATGTTAATTTTCATCAGAAAGGCAGTACTGGGTCCCTGGTGGCAAATGGGCAAAAGTACACAATGGTGCCCCATGAGATGCTCTTGGTAGACCTTCTGCTTTGTACTAAATATCTGTCTTTTCTTCACCCATTTGAGAAATGCCATACACGAGTTTTGGAAACATCATGATGGATATTAAAAGACACAGTAATTGGCAATTAAACAGGATCTCTAGGCAGGTCTTTGCTGTAAGGGGCACATTACCAAGCACAATAAAGACTCAAATAATTAAAATCATAATTGAGCACATTTACTTACTGTTGTTGTTTGAGAGAGGATTTCGTGCATCTGTTTCCTGGGGGGGAGGGGGGGGAGATAATCCATGTTTTAGTTGTTCAGCTGTAGAGAGAATTCCACAATTCTGACAGGCAATTGATCTACCTTTAATGATAGAGGCAAGTTTAGGAAACTATTTCCAATACATGAGTGATTCCAGCTGGTCTTGGGACTTGTTTTTCTGTAAACTGCTACCACCAGCCAGGACTATGGCGTCTAAATCTTGTCCCGCAGCCCAGGTGGTAAGTTAGAGCTGGGGGGAGGCTGAGGAGTTGTAATAATGTAGGCAGGGATACCTCTGGATACATTCTCCCATTCTCTCAAGCAGCTGTGCTTGTATAAAGCTTGGTAGATAGTGAAACTCTAGTCTAGAGGAAGCCTGGACCAGACAGCTCCAGACAGGCAGACATACATCAATGATTTAAAAAAAAAAAAAAGACATTAAAGGACCGAAAGAAAGACAGCAAGGAATAGACTCCTTATCAGGAAGGAAGAAGTCACAATACTCATGGGTCACACAGCTGCTGGGTTGGACATCGGACATAACTATGTAAAGAAAGACAGCATTTGCCTCTAGAAGCTTCTAATTTCACACAAAGGCAACAACAATTCCATCCCCTCCTTTTACTCCAAAAACAGCAACTGCAGGTTGCCAGGAGGATAGGGGCTCAGAGGGCTCAAGAAAAATAGAAACTTTCCCACGAGGTGTCACCCTGTTCAGCCTGATTGGTCCCCTAATTATGCACTGCACAAACACATATACACGTGCATGCACATGTAGGTGTACATATTCATCCTCATTTCTTTACTTGACTGACAGCAGAGAGAACCCTACCCTCCGAGTTCTAGTTGTGCTGAGGTAGAGTAAGAAACAGACAGACGGAAAGCCAACGTTACAGCGGACACAAGGAACACCCTGTCTCGCTCTCACCTTTTCTGGAAAGCATCACTGTCCAGACAGGGGCTGTGGCTGAAGGAAGAGTGGCACTCGATGGGCATGCTTAGGCGGCAGTAGATCATGTTGGCATTGCTATTCTGTGTGCCAAACGTCTTGTGGGTCACCTTGAGGCATGGAGGGCTGTCTATGGTGCCATCAATCCTCACGACCTGGAAACACCATGGGTCCTTACCTGGCACCTGAGGGCCTCATTTTGACCCTGTCCCTCTTTCCCTCATTGACATTACATATGTTGAGGCTTTCTGCGAATTATAAAAGTTGTGGCCAGTGATGACCAAATCACTGCTTTCATCATCACTTGGACTCTGCCCTATGGAAAAGAACAAATCTGCCTCTGGCTAGAGGAATTAGAGATTAAAAGACATGCACACTGAGTTTTCTGCAAGGTCAAAGGTAGAAAACAGGTAGGTGCAAGTTGGGGGTAAGTATCTGGATGATGCGCATGGTGTCCACTGAGGCTGACCTTTGAGGTCAGGGGGCAAGTGGCTAAAGAAGAAAATCCAAGGATTTCTCTTGTCAACGGGCATGAGAATATCTATGGGAGAGGGAGCAAGAAGGCCCAAAGTGCAAAAGAAAAATCAGCTCCCTCGGAGGGCTGTGTCACCCACCAGTGCCGTGTATTTCCCATCTCTGCCACAGTCACAGCTTGAGTGCTGAGGCTCCCTGAGGCCCCTCCAAACACGGGGGAGATTCCTAGTGGCAGGGCACAAGCATTACAGGGATAGTGGTTGGAGGAAGGAAGATCAAAACTGGATTTTTTAAATGTGTGCATGCGGGTTGGGGTGGGAAGGGGATGAAGAAGAAGTCAACCGAGACCTATAATAATCATGTTCATATGATCTAAGCATTTCTCCCTGCATGCTGGAGGCTAGTTTTTATCCTGGAGCCTGAGTATGCTTAAATATTTTTGTGTGGTTTGTAGATTTTTCTAAGTGGATGGTCTCTAGATTCCATCGGTTTGTCAAAGGGGTTCATGACCTCCAAAAGTTTATGAGCCAGCTTTCTCAAGTAACGGTCAGGTAGGGGTCAGAGAAATATAAGTCTCTACTGTGGCAGACTATGGGGTGAAGCGAGGGGGGGGGAATTAAGAGTTGATGTTCGTTGAGTTTAGATTGGAAGGTGAGTTAAGGGAACTTACAGTCAGGTGGAAGGAAGCCACTGAATCTCATGCTTCAGTGGAGCTGATTTGTCTGACTTTCTGTTAGCCTCCCTTACCCCCAGTACACACCATGCAAATACCGTGGTGGGCATGGACAAAACAGAGGCAAGCAGATGTAGAACCAGAACTCAAATCTGGCTCCTTATAACCTTTGGCTCCACTCAGCTCCCCCTGCAAGATGGAAGCCGTCATAATCAACTATGACACCTCAGCTTAAAATGTTGGAAATAGTGCTGTAGCAATTGAACAGGGCCTAAAGGACATCAATGTCTGTGCATAGAAGAATCATGTCTAGGACATATCATCTGAAGTATAGGTCCTGAACTTTATAAGGGAAACACTTAAGGTCTCTGAATATTGTATTATGATGACCATACCGGTACAGGAAATGTCTGGAGAAGACACAGTGGCCCAAAGGCTTGGGGGCTGATCTGCAAGGTTGTATCTGCAAGGCGGCCGCCATTTGTAAGATGCCACTAAGCTGCCCCAATTAAGATGTCTGCAACTACAGCTCTAAGGCCAGTGGGGAGGGGACAGAGAAGCAGCCAGAGCTTGATGTAGGTAGGCAGCTGTGTGATGACAGGGGCATTAGTGGAAGCTTATTAAAGCCTGGCCCATCTGCCTTGCCAGGGCCACCCACAATGATGTGTAACATTACCTCTATATGCGGATGATCCTTTGGCACGTTGACAAATGTTGGGAGGCGCTTGCTGAACCACATGGCAACATCTCGGTTCATGTTGACAGCAAAAGGCTCAAAGCCCTCTTGGAGGCCACACATGGTATAAAACTTGAAGGTACTGGCGTCCATCCCGAGATTCATGCGGCCGATCTGAGACAGTCCCAGAGAGCAGATGGGCACAAAGCCTGCAGAACGGGGGAAGACAGCCCTGCCTCAGCCTGCAGCGCCATCTCGGGAAGCTGCGAGGAAGCCAAATCTCTGCTTCCTTAACAGCTTTGAATCCCAGTTGGAAAGATGGGCCACCATCCTTCATCTTTCTTCCTGGCACATGAACTCAACAACAAGAGCCGAGTGGAGGCTACGGCTGTGCTTGATGCATGAGAAAGAAAAGTAGTTTGGTTCAAAATGAGTTGGGGGAAAAAAGCAACCATCCAGCCAAGATTATTCTTAAGAAGTATATAATCAGTAGTTGGAAAAGTAAAACCAGTTAAGAGAAAAAGAGACATTCTTCATCTGCGCCTTAGTTAAAATTGCTATTGGGCCCTGGGAAATTTTAAATACTGCCCCAAACAGAACAACGCAAGAAGCCTAAAGAACCACTTGGTGCAAACTGCCTAACGTTTCTAGATCCCAGCATCTTCCCCAGGGAAATAAGAGCTCTAATGGTTCTTCCCGTTTTGAGAGGATGATTCTAAGAAGTTTTAAATGCTAATACTATGACTGCTGGTTTACAAAGTACATTTTACAAACTCCCATTCTCCTAGCCCACCTACTGTTATGTAAAACAGGAAGGCGAGATTTTTGAGCAGGAGCAATAAAAAATGCCTCACTTCCCTCCTATAGTTCGTCTCTCCAAGCTTGCCTCTGTATTCTCATCACATTAAAAAACTGCGTTGCAGAACAGACCAAAGCAGATTTTCAAATTGTTTGGTGTTCTTCTTTGTGGGCTATTTATAAACCATAATTGTGGACCAACAAATCAGCCGAGCCGGGAAAGCACTAATTATCCTGGATTTGGGAGGATGTGGGAGGCGGGTGGCTGACAGTCTTTGGAGGGGGAAGAAAGGCACCAAGGCCAGTGGCAAAAGCAGGGGTTGGAGCCCCCACAGAGAAAACTGGTGTCACTCCTAGGACAGGGGTGTTTATTTAAGGGGTAATTTAAAGGCCAATTTTGGGATAATTGACCTTTAACAGTAAGAGTTTCATTCAAAGAGACCAAGGACAAGATGCACTGTTCCTAGCAACAGTGCTTACATACTGTTATCTAAGCTACAAAGTTTCTATGTAAAAAACGTCATGAAAGTGAAAAGTAAATCCTTCAGAAGCTAAATTGGTTGCTTTAAGAAACAATGAACTTATTTAGGACACTATTTATTACCGTTTAATGTAATTTCTAAATAACAGAGCTTTCATGCAGTCCTAGCAGAATGAGGGTGATGTCTATACAGAGAGCCTCTCTCAGAGCCACCGAGGACTGAGAGCAGACTGGTGGCCATGGGCGTGGCCCTCAGGAAGGGAGACAGACAGGTCAATCAGATAAGCACCTATTCAGGCAACCTCCTGAGCTTGTGGCATTTTTGCACTAGAGACTCTTATAAATGAAATCACCTCCTTTCTATAGACAGTTTTCACAAATAAGGCACCTCTGGAAATCTGACTCCAGTGTGAAATAAGGATTGCTTGTTGGCAAATTTCTTGAGTCCCTTCTGGGACAGTGGGCTCTGCTGTGTGCTTTGAGATGTGAAGGAAGGAGAGGAAACTGTCCGGATTCCAAGGAGCTTATAGATCTGGAAACGAC